TGAGTTCTCCAGCATTTGTATAGGACCAGATGAAGATGGGGCATTTGTCAGCTTTAGATACATATCTTAATTTAAGCCCCTGAAATTTGGCTGCTGTTGGAGAGGTGAAGTGGACCCTGTATGGGCCATTTAAAGAGATTCAAGTTCAGACTTTGTTCTTACCAGCTCCAAATCAGAATTAGTTCTGGGAGTGGTAGCCCCACTACCAGGTTTTTAAGGAAGCTAGAAGAATTTAGGTTCAGTCCAATTCACAGGTATATCATAGAACCTCAAAGACAATTAACAGAGTTCAACCTAAATAGACAAAAATGTCAATATAATTTCTTCTTTTTACATTTAAGCTCATATATTTATAGTAAAACTGATATGTCTGCATTACCCTTTTCCTGACTTTTTGTAAGTGTACCAAGAATAGTGATTCAAAGGTCTTTTTAAAGCTGCTTTACTGGAACCTTATAAACAAGTTACAAGGTTGACATTTTTTCCTTCCAAGGGGCTTTATTGCCTCTGAAAAGTCAACCTTTTCTAAAACTGTCTGGTCATATCTGACTCTACATACATCTCTTTCAAATATGATATTCCAGTCAAAGCTTTGGTAATATAATCAGTGTTTCTAATCATGTTCTCTGACGTGGAGAGCAAATCTCACTGAACATAGGTAAATAACTACTTATATTGCCATGAAAAGAATACTCAAGATTTTTGGTGTTTTTTTTTTTTTAATTTTGGACAGATCTGGTGAGGAGAAAAAGGAAAGGTTAAATCTTTGTTCTCAAAAGGAAAGGTTAAATCTTTGTTCTCAAGGGTATATCTTACCAAATTTTTTATAGCTTAAGAGAAACAAGAAAAAGGTTTCCAAAGTGTGGAAATGCAAAATATTAGGGAACCAGTGATATTTTAATATGGCTCATAACATGAGTCATATTTCATTTTCTTCAGTCCATATAGTCCTATTTTTTTTTCTATTTGATCCAGTTTTCCTAGTGGTTTTGGAAATTCTTTTCTAATTCAGTTTTATGATCTTAAAGCTGTCAGAAACCTGTATTCTAGAGTCTTTTTTCATGAATCTCTTTTGCAGGAGCTCTTTTGTAAAAAAAAACTCAGTCAAAGTACAGCTACCTGTAAACGATAAAAGGCTTTAAAATGGCAATGGTTAAAGATATGATTTGAGTTCATTATAATGCAGTTGACAAGGAAATCTGATTATTTCTGTTACAAATAATACTTCAAGATTATATCAGGACACATTGGATTTCTAGGAGTTTCATGAATGACTTTAAAACACTTATTTAAAACCATACACACACACACACACACACACACACACACACACAAGAATCAAAGTTTTAGCATTAACTGACAGCATTTCCCATGTAAATTAACATACCAAATACCCCAATTAGTTTAATGTATCTCTTTCATGGGGAGAACAAATCCTTTGAAATGTTCCAGGGGTCCTCCAGAACATATCAAAGTTAGCTTGTGGTCAAAAGTTTAAGAATTTCATTTTGGAAAAGTTTTCCAAAAAATACCAAAAAAAGTTTTGAAACACTTGTCCAAATAGGCTGACAGTTCACTGTAAAACAATACTTTATTATCTATTTAACCAAAGTGACAATTAGAGTCCACAGGGAAATACATAAGGTTACATAATTGTAAGCAAAGCTTAGCTCTATTTTTATTAAGAAGACTCAGTTTTCTTAAGTAGTTAAAGACCTGATGTTAAGATATCATGAAGCACTGGAGATTATCTTGATAAAACACAAAAGCCTTATTTTCTAAGTAGATAATCTCAAAAGTAAAAAAACAACAAAACAAAAACCTTTACCATCTTGTACTGATAGCAGACTGTTCAAGAAAACTTTGTCTTTTGAACAAAAAGAAAACCAAATATTATTTTTGCATCAGTGTACTTTTAATATTTAAACACGTTCTTTAAAAATTCATTTTTAATCTTAGCCAGTTGATCACATATTAAAACATATTTTCAAAGATTCCTTTTCCACAAACCTTACAACTTTCTTGTTATATATATATATATATCTTTTTATTTTATGTTTTCCCTCATTAAATAACAAGCCTTACTTCGGGACAATATTAATTTTTATCAACAACAAAAGAAAGCATTTCCATTCCTCACACTTTCTTTTCCTGAAAATACTATTTTTAGTACATTCTACTTTTCTTGGGTCTGGAGATGTTTCCTTTACTACTCTTAAAAGCTTTAATTACATTTAACACAATTCATAACTTTTAGAAATGTTAAATAAGAAGTAAATAATGATGAACTCTCTTTTACATTACCTTCCTGTGAACTGGCAATATTAAACACTTTTTGTGACTTCTAGAAACATGTGCCTTAGTATAATCTTTCAATAACTCATGCAAAAAATGTTTACTAACAGACCCAAATTCATCTTCAGTTTTTCTATAATACAGAAATCAAAAGTAGATCAACTTCTATTCAGTATTGTTTCATTACCTTAATTTTGTTTACTTTTTTAGAGGTATAATTGATATGAAGCATTGTATTCACTTCAGGTGTAGAATTTATTGATTTGATATTTGTATATATAGCAAAATGACTGATACAATAAATCTAGGTAGTATCCATTACTACACACAAAATGATCACCACAATTAGTCTTATTAATATCTATCAGTATACATAATTTTTTCTTGTGATGAGAACATTCAAGATCTGTCTTAGCAACTTTCAAATATACAATACAGTATAACTAATAATAATCACCATGGTATACATTATACCCCATAACATATTTATTTTATAACTGGAAATTTGTATGTTTTTATCTTCACCCATTTCCCCAATACCAAATGTCTATTTCTGGTAACCACCCCATCCACTCTCACTATCCATTAGTTCATTTTAAAATTTTTAATTAATTAATTAATTAATTAATTAAATGAGATGATATGGTGTTTATCTTTCTCTAACTTGTACTTAGCATAATCCCCTCAAGGTCCACCCACATGGTTGCAAAAGGCGAAATTTACGCTTTTGTGACTGAATAGTATTCCTCTGTGTGTGTGTATGTGTGTGTGTGTACCACAATTTACCTGTCCATTCATCCATTAGTGGAGAGTTAGGCTGTTGCCATATCTTGGCTATTGTAAATAATGCTGTGATGAACATGGGGATGCATATGTCATTTCAAGTAAATGTTTTCAATTTTTTCAAATATCCATAAATAGAAATGCTGACTCATATGGTAATTCTGTTTTTAAATTTCGAGGAACCTCTATATGTTTCCACAGTGGCTGCACCAATTTACCCTCCCAACACAGGACTCAAGGACTCCCCTTTCTCTACACCCTCACCAACTCTTCTTATTTCTTGTCTTCTGGATAGTGGCCATTCTGACAGATGCGAGGTGATATCTCATGCGGGTTTTGATTGGCAGTCCCTGAGGACTGATGTTGGGTACCTTGTATTTGGCCTGTTGTATGGTACCTGTTGTATATGGTACCTGTTGGCCATTTGTATTTCTGAATTAGAAAAGTGTCTATTCAGATTCACTTCCCATTTTCAAAACAGATTGTTTGCTTCTTATGCCATTGAGTATATGAGTTCTCTGTAATTTGAATATCAACCCCTGATCAGATATATGATTTGTGAATATTTTCTCCCATTCAGTAGACTGCCTTTTCATTTTTTTGATGGCATCCTTTGCTGTGCAGAAGCTTTTTAGTTTAATGTTGTTCCACTTGTTCATTTTTATTTTTGTTGCATTTATGATGGTTCTCGAGAGATGAACATTTTAGAAGATTTTGTCTCCCCTTTGTCTTTAGGAAGGTTCTGCCAAGGAACGTCCAGCGTCTCCTTGTGCAGGGCCCCAGGACTCAGTTCCAGCTCGGTCCAGCTGGAGCTGAAGAAGGAGACAGGAAATCTTGTTAAATGTGGAAGATCCTCTTGGAACTGCTTTCTTATTACTGCTATCTTTCCACATATGTGGAAAGAGTTTTCTCTTCTCTCAGAAAGAGACATTAAAAACAAGTAAAAGGAGTTTGCAAACGCATTGAACTTAGATTCAAGGTGTGCCTAAGTACGAGCACATTAATAGCCTTTCCCCATTCCTACTTGGTACATTGGCCAGAACATGTATGTTTCCTGGTTACTTCTGAGTGCTAGAAGACTCATTAGTAGGTATCAAAAATATCAAATACATCTCCTTTTCCCACCTAAACGTCAGTCCCACTTACATACAAATGGAGGTCTGGTGTGGGCAGGGGCCTCAGGAAAATTTGGCCAGCTCAATCTTACATAGATGCATCTAGTGGGCCCCTTAACCATGTGTAGCATGTGACACCAGCAGAAATGACCTCCAGAACAGACAGCCAGACTGAAAAATCCATATACCTTCTAGACAGAAAGAATTTTTGGTAGTAAATTTGCAGCCATGTTATCTTGCTACCATTTGATGATGATATATATAGTATGTCCTCTGGGAAGAACAAGACCCACATAGGAAGTGAGGTCTGCCACATGGACATGTCAGACAGTTTTCATGGTCTTAGGGGATTTTCCTGAGGTTCTCACACCTGGGGTGGATAGAGATACAGTGGGATGTGCTTTATTTATATCAGGAACTAAATTGTTCCATTGAATGGTCACTGTGTGTGATCATTATTTCATACAAATGAAAATACTAAATGATAATTCAAATGTGGTAATGAAGACCAGTGGGTAGGAAAAGTTGGGAGGAGTGATCCAACTTTGAATTTGGTCATGAAGAACTGAGAATCTCTTAAGGGAGAAAGGGATACCAAGATAGGAGCAGAGCCTGGGCAAATGCAAGTAAACAAGAAATAAAGGGTGCAAGTCCAGGGAATTCTGAAGAACAGTATAAGAAGGTGCTCACCATGTAAAATGGGGCTGGGGCTGAGGTTCTCCCTCCCATAATATCTCACCCCAACTGTTCTGCATGTAGTAAGGACACCTTCCCTCTCTGACCTTCCCTTTTCTCTGCTCCTTCTAGTGTCTTCGGTGGCATCCAGCCATGGGTCAATGCTCACCCTCCCGTGCATCTCGTCAAAAGGCTCATGATTTGCTCTCCGGCTTTGGAAAATTTGCTGAGAAGTTCCACCTAGAAACAAAAATCATCTCTCAGGAAACCACCACTTTGATTCAATCATCCCTGAAGGCGGGGGACTTTCAGAAGACTATTACTGAGATCAATGAGGCATTGAGAGACATTGAGAATGCCCCACTGAGTATTGCTGTGACTGGGGAGACTGGGTCAGGGAAGTCCAGTTTCATCAATGCGCTGCGTGGGGTTGGCAATGAGGGAGAAGGTGCTGCCCCCACTGGGACGTTGGAGACCACCATGGAGAGAACTCCATACAGAAATGAGAAATTTGTCAACGTGACAATATGGGACCTGCCTGGCTTGGGGTCAACTAGCTTTAAGCCACAGAAATATCTAAAGAAAATGAAGTTTAATGAGTATGACTTCTTTATTATCATCTCTGCTACACGCTTCAAATTATATGATACAAAACTGGCCAAAGCAATTGGAAAAATGGGGAAGAATTTCTACTTTGTTCGAAGTAAAGTGGACAGTGATTTGGACAATGAACGAAGGAGTAAACCAGCGACATTCAATAAGGAAAAAATCCTGAAAGACATTCGAGATGACTGCAAGAAACAGCTAGAGAATGCCAAGGTGAATCACCCTCGGGTCTTCTTGGTCTCCAACATTGATGTGTCTGACTATGATTTCCCAAATCTGGAGATGACACTTCTGAGGGAGCTCCCAGCCCAGAAGCGCCACATCTTCATGCTCTCCCTGCCCAGTATCACTGAGGCCGCCATTGACCTGAAGCGGGACTCCCTGAGGCAGAAGGTGTGGCTGGAGGCACTGAAGGCTGGAGCATCAGCCACCCTCCCTTTGGTGGGTCTGATCAATGATATAGATCTGGAGAAGCTGGAGGAGACTTTAACCCTGTACCGGTCTTACTTTGGCCTGGATGACGCATCCCTGGAAGCCATGGCCAAGGATTTGCATGTGTCAGTGGAGAAACTCAAGGAAAATCTGGAGTCTCCACACTTGTTGTCTGTCAAGAAGGGTAACGAGTCTGTGAAGGACAGACTGCTGGAGTTTATTGAGACACTTTGCTCAGTCACTGGGGGCCCCATTGCCACAGGCATTTACTTTACAAAGACCTTCTATTTGCAAAATCACTTCCTTGATACTGTGGCTAAGGATGCCAAAACTCTCCTTAAAAAAGAGGAGCTTTTCACAGAAAATGTGGGCTCTGCCGAGGTCTAACACCCTGTATATTGGGAAACAAAATCGGAATGATGAGGACCAGACCCCACCGCATCCTTGGTGCTGGCCAGGCCTTGCCAGCCGGCCTCATAGTTAAGAGCTCCTCTAAGCAGGCCTGGTATTCCTGCCCCAAGTAAGGACCCCTGATGTCTCCACACTCTCAGCCCTGGAGCAACCTTCACCTTAGTGCCTTTCATGCAAAATGTAGAATCAGCTAAAATTCTGCCTGGGAAAAACAAGGAAGGAGATCTGGAATTTGATGCTGAGAAACACAGGCATGTCAGTGGTCCAGCTACTCTGCATCCAAGGCTGGGTACCATAGTTATAATAGTGGCATTTGGTGTCTCAATGGTTGGCACCCAGAATAGGCTCAATACGTGTTTGATGTTTGCACAAATCCAGTCAATAGTATTAATTCTTGAGAGTTCCTCCTGATATGTCCATCTGAGGGTTCCTCTGTTGTCCTTCCAGAACTTATCATGTTATTTCACAAGCTTCTGCAATGTAACAAGGATCACGATGTAGTATAAGCCCTGGCAGTGGTTTTGCTTATTTTTTTTAAGTATGAGTGTGTGGGTAAAATTGCAGTATTTCTCAAATCTCTTGCCTGTCCTTAATGCATCTCCGTATTAATAGGTGTTTCCAAGGGGTGGAGAGAAGAGGTCCTTCTCCATATCAATAGGTGATTACAAGGGGAAGCAGGGCATATCTGGACTGGAAAGGTTGGATAGGGTCCCTTTTTCTGCAGCCGGGTCATGAGAGACACAGGCAAGCAGGAGTGGACTACTTGTAAGCAATAACAAGTTTCTCCCACTTCATTTCTCCCTTTGACTGATTTCGGTTTCAAAGGTATTTTGACCTAGGCTGGTAGAATATTCTCCCCCCAGAGTTACAGAGTACCTGATTTAGGCTTTGCTGATGTGCCCATTTCAAAGATGCTTATTTCAAATAAGCACACTGCTAGCCACATAACTAGATGGAGAACTTACCCAAGTGTATTGTGTTAGCCTAAAGTGTGGTGTGTAATTTTCAGCTTTTATAAGTAATAAACCTTTTTTTTTTTTCAATGCTTTCTGCTGGTTGTTTCTGAAGGAAATTTTGCAATCATACTAAGAACAACAAGGTCTGAGGCAAACACAACATGGTTAGACAGAGAAAATGTGAAGTCTCTCTCCTTTCTGATGGGAAGTGCTTCTCACTCATTCACTAGGAGCTTTGTGAACATGCTCACAGACTTCCACCCTGGCCCCAGTCCTGCCAGTGTCCTCGCTAGTGGCCTCCCACAGAGCATTGGAGAATTGCCTAGTTGGTTCCTACTGCTTCCTTGCCCCCTACCCCCTCATTCCCTGAGCTACCAGAAGTCACAACACTTGTATTTCTCTTTCCTGGAAATTCTTCTGCTTTGGAGAAATATATATAACAATGGTTGCCCTGACTTCATTTATGTTTTCTGTAAACATGAGCTCTCAGCTCTCAGCCACGTGTTCCTGAGGGAGGGGCCACAGTCAGTCTGTGGTCCTTCTGGTGCTCACTCACAGGGCCCGTTCCGCAGGCAGCACGAAGGCCCACCCATCCCTTGCTCACTTCTGTGACCACAGGAGTGCCAGTGTCTGAGTACCCCAGGGAGGCCATCTGTGTGGAGAGCTCCAGTGCCGAGGACTTGAAGGAGCATCTCACCACGTTCAGCATGTTCTGATGTTTTTGAAGATTTGGGTCTGATCTCTGAGATAAGAAAGTTTTAGCTGGTGAGTGAGCACACTTTAACTCCTGTTGTGATGGTCTTGTCTCTTCGTGTTGGGAGGGCCGAGGGGCAGCCTTGGCCGATGGAGAGCTGCGGTTTTCCTCAGGGACCAGGCCATCTCAGGGGGCTCAGAGAGTGAAGGAGGGCAGAGAACTTTCCCACGGCTAGGGGAGCAGGCTCTCTGTGATGCCTGGGAGGCCACCGAGCAAGGCTCCCAGGCACATGCCTCTCCCGCTCTTTGACTCTTAGATCCTTCTTTTGAATATAGAAACAATTGTATAATGTCTTTATAGAGTTACTAAGAAGATGAAATGAAAAAAATCTATGCCCATGTACACTTGCGAATTTTAATGAACACATGACTCTGACTTTCCCCCTAAATTTCCCCTGCTCACATCAGTGAACACACTCCCACTGGATGGAAGACAGGTCTTGAAGACCCCAGGGAGAGCTCTGCCCCACTTACCACAGCCTGATTCTCTCAGAATAAAATAACTTTTAAAAGAAGTGTACATATAACCTCGGGTGAGGTGTAGTTGAAATTTGTTCAGGGCATAGAGTTTGGATGTCCTCATCCCGCATCATCCATGTCTTGCATTCTGACATCTTTTTTGTGCCTACTTATCCTGTGGGCATCTGTGATGCTCTTCTCCTCTTGTGTGGTGGTCACTGGCTGAACACACAGCTGGCCATCCTCCAGGGAAGGTGGCAGAAAGACCAGCCCACTAGGCACTTGAGCTGCGGTGCTGGGTGCACCGTTCAGGAACATGGTGAACGGGACCCCTGGGGATGGAGCCAGGGGACAACAAAGTGTCTGGGGCGAGTCAGTCCACACAGGGTAAACAGCTCCCTGCAGCAAGTGAATCTCTCCACTTGGGATGACAGGAGGAGCTACGGCCTCTCTCTGAGAAAGCAACAGCTCAGCTTATGCCCCTCAGAACCTCGGCTGGTGCTTCCTGTACCTGGGGAGTCTTGAACAGTTGATGTTTGTGTGCATCTGCTCTTTGCTGCCACTCAGACAGCTCCCTCTCCGTTTAACCATTTCACAAGTATTTATTGATCATGTCCTTATGCACTTTTCTGGTCACAGCAGAAAAAAGAGGGGATGCAAGAGGCCAACTGCCTGCCCTGGTGGTCTGGTGGCAGACCAGAAGGGAGACAGACAAAGGAGCAAAAAAAGAAAGGGAAAGCCATATTTTAGGGGAGGGGGAGTTTGCATCAAGGTGTTGGTGGTGGGGAGGGCCAGGCAGAGGGGGCTGCAGGACTGCGTAGGGGGGTCAGGGAAGGCCCCTGAGGGGTGAGACCTGAAAGATGGCAGAGAGTGAGCCCTGGGGCTGCTTGGAGCCTCAAAAGCAGGGAAACAGAAGTGGGAACAGGTCTGGTCTGCTGGGGGCGCAGCAGGGAGGTGACAGGAACAAAACAAAGCGAGAGGGGGAGGAGGACGTGCAGGAGTGCTGGCGGGGCACAGGGGCCTCTGAGGAGCATTATGGCTGCTCTGCAGGGAGGTGGGAGCCCCTGGCAGGTGGTCCCAGAGCAGAGTCCTGTAGGCGGGTCACTGGCTGCTGTTTGTGGTGAGACTGCCTGAGGGTGGGCCAGGGCAGAGGCCCTGCGGGGAGGAGTCACTCTCCTCTACCAGTCCCACCAGGTTCCATACCTGGATCCATGAAAGAGTCTGACAATGAGCAGATTAGCAGGAGAAAGGCCTACAAACTTACCAGTTTTTATGGGACATGCATCAAGCATCACAGGAAAAATGTGAGCTCCCAAAGAGCTGTGAGATTTGGGAGCCCATCTGTCATTTTAATAGGAGAAAGGGCTGGGGATGCAGGCCTCTTGGTGGAAAGTAAATGTTTCTTCGGAAAGATGAATGCACCCTTGGAAAAGAAGATGGGGGACAGGATAGCTACTGAAGACTTTTGTGTGTGTGTGTGGACTTCTATTCTCTGCTCCTGTGATGATTCGCTTTTCCCATGTTGATGAAATCCTAGGGAGGGGATTTATAACAATTGAGTGTCTTCTGGAGGATGTCTTTAGGCAAATGAGGTGAACTCAGAGACAACCTCTTCCTGCATTTGCTGTTTTACTAGTGTCTTCTGTTCAAAATGACCAATATGCCAAATCAGTGGTTGGGGTGTCATGTCCTGAGCTCCTTCCGGGTCACCTCTGGGAAGCTTCATGCAAGCATCCCAGGTAGAGGTGATGGTGGTTTGGACCAGGGTGATCATGGTGTTAATAGGAGAAATGAATGGGTTGTCCAAAGTCTTGGAAGGTCAAGCCTCCCCCCAGTTTTGAAAGGAAGAAGATTGTGTGGCCAGCCCCACATGCAACTGGGGAAGTGACATTGCCATTAACTAGAAAGGAAAAGACTGTGGAAGGAAAGGGTGCAGGTTGGGTTAATTTTAAACATCTTCAGGTACTCAGCATCATCCTATACATACAAGGGGGGATGTGGCATGAACAATGGGATGATTGGCTCCACAGTCATGGGAGAGACCTGGGTAGAGACAAAAGTTTGGGAGTTGCCAGCTTATATGTGGTTTTGGACACCTTGGGACAGGACACGATAACCAAGGTAGTGGACACCCCAAACTTTAGGTCTCACTATAATAGGGATGGGGTTCACACACCAATTTCAGATTTTAAATCAGTGGCTTCCCAGCACCTGCCCATACCCAGACTTGTCAACCAGAGTGCATGTTCCAGCCACAGCTGCCCTGAAGGCATAAGGACAGACACCCCCTCCCCACTCCTGGGGAGTGCATGCTGGCTACCCCTGCACCAGGACCCCGCCACAGTGGTGGCAGAAGTGGAGCTTCCCTTGGGCCCATCCTCACAAAAGGTGGAGCTGCTACCCCACCACAGGTTTGGAGTTGGAGCCATAGCCATAGGGAAGGGCTTTCCTGGTGGGGCATGCTTGGGCTGGGGCTGTACCTCAGGTGTGGAACAGTCCCTGTCCGCCTCTGGAGAATGTGGCAGTCTGTTCCCTCTCTGCCAAAATATCTATCCCATTGGTATTCACTCAGTGACCCATCTGATTGTGCCCCTTCAACTTGCCCCCTCCAGCTATGCCCTGACAGCCCTGACACCAAGACACTGCTGGCTCATGCACCCAAGGCTGCCAGCCAGCTAGACAAAACCACCAGACACAGTCTACCCAGAGGAACTTCCGTACACCCGGCCAATCCTTCAAGACTGGGAGAGGGAGACCTTTCTAGTAATTTATAGAATCAAGCACAGAGAGTCAAACAAAATGATGAGAAGGAGGAATATGCTTGAAACAAAAGAGCATGATAAAACTTCAAAAAAAAAAAGAACTAAATGAAGCAGTTAGGCAATTTCCTACATAAAGATTTCAAATTAATGATTATAAAGATGTTCACCAGACTTGAGAGAAGAGTGGAAGAACTCAGTGAAAACCTCTACAAAGAGAAAGAAAATTAAAAAAAAAAACAATCAGAGATGAAAAATACACTAGAGGGAATCAGCAGGTAAGAGGAGGCAGAAGAATGAATCAGCGATCTGAAAGACAGAGGAACGGAAAATACTCCAGCTGAACAGCAGAAAGAAAAAAGAATAAAAAGAAAGGAGGAGAGGTTAAGAGAGCTCTGGGACAGCATCAAATATCCAAACATTCATATTACAGGAGTCCCAGCAAGAGAAGAGAGAAAGGAGCAGAAAATTTATTGGAAGAAATAATAGCCGAGAACTTCCCTAACATAGGGAAGAAAAACAGACGTCCAGATCCAGGGAGCAGAGAACCACCCAAACAAGATGGACCCAAGGAGGTCCACCCAGCACATCGTCATTAACATGTCAAAGATCAGAGACAAAGAGAGAGTCTTAAAAACAAGAGAAAAGTAACAAGTTACCTGGGAGGGGAACCCGTTAAGGTGATCTCCTGATGTTTCAGCAGAAATCAACAGGCCAGGAGGGAGTAGCATGATATATTTATAGTGCTGAAAGAGAAAAACCTCCAACCAAAGTACCCTACCCAGCTAGGTTATCATTCAGAATGGAAGGGGAGAAAAAGAGCTTTGCAGATAAACATAAGTTAAGAGTTCACCACCACTTAACCACCCTTACAAAAAAAACTGCTATGTGGTCTTCTTTAAGAGGAAAATAAGAACCCCTAACAAGAAGCAAGAAAAAAGTAACAATGAAAAATTCACTGGTAAAAGCAAGCATATACCAGAGGTAGTAGATCACTCACTTAAAAGCTAGTATGAAGATCAAAAAGACCAAAGTAGTGTGATCAATTACATCTAAAAATGAGTTAAGGAATCACTAAATAAAGACATGTAAAAAGAAGACGCCATATGAATAAAA